AAAAAAAATATCATATCATTTATATAGATAATTTGTAACTTCCTGTCAAAAAAAAAAAAAGATCGATGATCACATCGATGGTGAACTTCACAAACGCTCCAAAAAAAAAAAAACGCGCCCAATCAGACCCATGATCTTGAAAAAAAAAAAAAAAAAAAAAAAAAAAAAACAATATAATAAAAAAATCGTTTGCTTTGTTCAAAGAGATACCCAAGATATATGGTGGACAGGAATGTAAACCGTATTTTGAGATTTATGATTGACTTGGCACATTATTTATTTTCCCATAGGCCTTAGGCCGCCGACCCACTTGTCTGTAATGATCCGATTGATAGCAAAGTTTCGATTGATGTTCATCTAAAGTGGGCGATTCCTGGACTATCTGCCTATTATATAAAAAGTAGCATTTGGCCTAACCGGGACACGATCAACTGCGTAAATCCAGTAATATAAATAATATATAAAAGAACACAAACAGTATTGTAAATCTGCAGCGCGTCAATTGAACGACTTCCATATAGACCAGTTGCATTGGCGCCCTTGGCTGGGTACTGGAGGCTATAAAAGCAACTACTCCGGTTACCAGTATCAAACAGTAAACTGCGAACAATTAACATGAAACTATTTGTGGCTCTTATTGCACTGGTCGTGGCCTCGGCCAACGCCAATATAATTGGCGTGCCCGGCTTCCCCGAAGGCCGCATCATCAATGGCAACGAGGCCAAAGTTGGAGAGGCACCCTTCATTGTTTCCCTGCAGACGACCTGGAACGCCCACTACTGCGCCGGCTCGCTGATCAGGAATGACGTCGTCCTGACCGCCGCCCATTGTATGACCCACACCAATTTTCAGGTGGTTGCCGGCGCTCACAGCCGCACGAACAAGTCCGTGGCTCAGGTGCGCCAGGGCAGCAGCTCCCGTCAGACGATCCACGAGAAATATGGCGGCAGCGTTGGCCCCTATGACATTGGTCTGATCTTCCTCAATAAGCCATTCAACATCAATACCCGCAATGCACCTGTCGCCACCATTGCTGTGGCCTCCAAGCAATACGCCACGACCGGCAATGGTGTCCTCTACGGCTGGGGTCGCGACAACTCTGGCTTGAAGCCCGACAAGCTACAGAAACTGAATGTGGAAATCATTGACTACAAGAAGTGTTTGGCTAACTTGCCCAGAAGTAACAAACTGGCCGAGACCAATGTGTGCACCTTCAAGGCCGGGACCACCGACGGCTCCTGCACCGGCGACAGCGGCGGCCCATTGGTAAACAGGCGTCCCGACGGCTCATACCAACTGGTTGGCACCGTCTCCTGGGGCTACACACCTTGTGCCAGCACCAAGTATCCATCGGTCTACACCGACGTTGCCTCCTACAGGAATTGGATCCAGCAGCACATTAACGACTTCTAAGCATTTCTAATAATTCAATAAACGAAATGAAAGCTCTATTGCATTACTTGCAAATATTGCTTAATCTATCTCTAATTTTATAGTATAGATCACAATCCTTTTTAAGGAACTCCATCTGGCAGCGCTGAAAACACTAGTATGTCCTTATATTCATCAAAACAAATCATCTTTATCATTTTTAGACGTTTTTATTCCCGAAATGTTATGATCATATCAAATCAGTAATGCAATAATCGATAATCACATCGATGGTTCTCAGTGCTTCCCAAATGCGCCTAATCATCCCCATTTTCTTGCAAAAAAAAAAAAAAAAAAAAAAAAAAAAATAAAAAAAA